GGGCTGCCCGTGCAGCAACTTCACCCGCCGCAGACAGGTTTGGGGTTTTTTTCTTTCCCCCGCCTGGTCGCCTTTGCGATGGGAGCGGGCCGCCCTTCCCCGAGAGCCGCTTGGCGCCAGGGCTGGCTGGTGGCCTCCGGTACCCTGTAGCAGGAGAGCGTCTCAAAATCTCTTCTCGCTATCTCGGCTCTCAACAAGCCGGAAATACAAAGCAAAGCAAAGAACCGCGGGACCCCCTGTCCCCACTGCAAACTCTGAGATTCCCAAAGGATTACCTTTTAGAAATGGCAAACGCTTGCCTATTGTGGAAGGTGCGGGAGGCAGCAGCTCAGGTGCCTGACAAACCCCAGGTCTTGAAAATGAGCTCCTGAACCAGAGCAGTTGAGGGAAAGGGGCCTTTTGATTTGCTTCCAAGTGAAAGAAGACTGTGTTTTTTCATTGTTTCTAGGTTCATCCGGAATTGTACGTTGACAAATCGAGGGGAGATAAACTGAAGATCAACCTGGATGTTATTTTCCCACATATGCCTTGTGCTTGTGAGTCAGACTTCTGAATATTGGGGATAGTTTTCCTACTTGCCAAGGGCCCGAGAGGCTCAGTGTAGCCTGGTGCTTCCAAGTGCTGCTTGGGCCATGGACAGAGAGGAATTGATGATCCCTTGTGGTCATGCAGAGATTCCAGCCAGGCCTGCTGGGCATTCAAGCAGCACTTCCAGTCAGGCAGTATTACTTTTGGAGTTTATAAATGAGGCAAAGATATAAACCCACTTCCATTTCTTACATTGTGTTGTACTTTGTCAGGGAGCACAGTAATACTGAAAAAGCTGGCCCAGAGTTCACTTGGGACTCAAGAGTTGACTGTGGTGGTGGTGTTGCTGAAAAACTTTAGAGCCTTCTTTGGAAGTTACTTGATGAAGCACAGCTTTTCCATGATTTTAGTAATGAAATTCTGGCTGTAATGCCAATGCCATGCGATAACCTTTTTCCAAAATTTTTTAAATCAGAAGGAGCGTTAATAATCTGATTACCTTTTAACTAAATTCAGAACAAAGCTGCAGTATGAAGTGATGGAAGATGTTGTAAGTCTTCCTGGGTATTACTGCTGTGCCTGTTATCTGACTGTGCACTAATCTTCCCTGCCTCTTGTTCTGTTGTCGTAATTCTTTTGGGTAATGCATTGGGCTCTAAATGTAGTGAGTCTGTCTTCCTTCTGACCATCCAAGATACTATTGGTCTTTGCCTTGCTCACATTTAAAAGAGTGTGGGAAGGCCAGAGTGATGGGAATCCTCGGCTGTTTTGTGCAGAGAAGCTGTCAGTCTTCTAAGAGAGCGTGTAGCCAGGAAGGGCATCATGGAGTTTTGATACCAGAGTGGGCCCACAGACCTTCTCAATCTTCTTTGTGAAAAGGGATCACAAGGAAGTGTGCTGATGTTGAAGGAGGAAGGGTGAGGGAGTAGAGGTAGGAGGCAGCTTTCGACCAATTAACTCCTGAAAACGGTTGTGGGCTTTAAGGGGTTTTGTTTTGGTTTTTTGCCCGAAGCACATTATTTCTCAGGGTAACGCTTTCTGTGGCAGTTGGAAACAGTCCTTCTTGTCCACCAAACCAAAGCCCATGTTTGGCAGGGTCATTTAGGGTGCTACAATGTGTGTTTTATTCCCTGTAAGTCCCCATCCATACGCACTCTTCCAGGTTGGCATGTTCTTATACCCCTTGCTGAAAGATTCTGTATCTTCACTGGTTGAATGCTTCCTCAGCCTGCCACAGGCCATAACAAATGTGTGTTTATCGACCTTTTTCGTTGCTCGCTGGTTTCAGATTTGAGCATTGATGCCATGGATGTAGCAGGAGAGCAGCAGCTGGATGTAGAGCACAATCTGTTTAAACAACGTTTGGATAAAGCTGGCAATCGTGTGACTCCAGAGGCTGAGCGACATGGTAAGATGCTATTCTACCTTGACTACGTAAACCTCTCCTCTGTGTTTTTTACATGTTATGACTCATCGTTGTACTTTGATACAAACCAGAAACGATTCTGGCAAAGTGTTGCGTCTAACTGTGATACTGTCCTGACTGTTCCTTTCCAAAACATGAGCTCCTTATTACCTTTTCTGGGAGGTAGTGTAGTTCTACGTAGCAGCGTGAACTAAATTTGTTGATTTGTATCACTCATTTAACTTCTCTGCTCTTGAAGTTGAAAGGCTAACCTAAGCCAAGAGCTGAACAATCGGCAGGTATGAGCGTTTCTCCCGTTTGTCATGGGAATGTGGTGGAAGTGTTCTTACTGTTGTGTCGCTTAGCAGCCTCTCTGAATAACTCTTGTATTCAGAGGTTGTGACATTTCAAATTTAGTGTCTGGGGACAAAAGCATCTGTTCTGTATCTAATTCTCAGTTAACACATGTAGGCCTCCTGCCTTGCTTATATTGCCAGTCTCCATCGGGATTGCTCTGTCTGAACTGGTTGCTCCAACTCCTTATCTAATCAGTGGAGAGGAAGAGAAACTTGTAGGACGCAAACTATCTCACCTAGAAGAGGTGTTTTAAAATAGATGGGATGTGTTGCATGCAAAAAGCAATTTCTTTTGCTGTCTGGATGAAGCACGCGGCTAGTTCGGTTTGCAACACGGGTGATGGAAGTTAGATCAGAAGTATCCACCCATCTTCATTAAACTCTACGATTATCAGTTCCTATTAGTAACACTGACATTCAGTCAGTTCTTTAAACGGCAACTATAGCAGTATTGACCTTAAATGTAGGAAAGCATACCCAAATTTTGTGGAGTAGTATCTGGAGGCTTTTCCTAATCGTAGTTTCATTAAAATAGTTAATAGCTTAATGATTTCTTGATAGGTTGCATTCTGTGCTTGGATGTCGTCTTATTCATTTCCATTGAATGACAATAAGTGATTGAATTCTTTATTGGTGGTTCTTATTGTTTCCTTCCTTTTAATGTGGACACGTTTCACACTGCATATGTGCATGCAAGCTGAGGACCATGTTAACAGGAAGAAACCCCACATGTAGAGTTTTATGTACTGCACATTCTTTGTAGTCTCTCAGCTGTGTGCATTACCTCTGGGTGCTGTCTCTGAGATAGCTCATCAGGCAGCTACAGATGTTTAAAAAAACTGTTGCTGGTTGCTGTATCTTGAAAGACTGCTTGTATTGTACAGGTGTTCTTATTGAAATGGTGGGAATCATGGCTTTGACAAAGCATAGCAATTATTCAGCTGTGTTCTTCCCAATGCTATCTTTCAGTGTGGTGACAAGATTAAAAGCCATACCAGTTTTTACGATGAATTCTTAAGTGCACATTCAACTACTTTGAATGTTGTGTGCTTTAGAACGCAAGTCTTGCACAGTTGTTTAATAATGGATATATTTTCCTGAAAGTTTTTATTTGCTTGATCGTAACTACCATAAAGTATTTGATGAAAGAAATAAGGTTAAGGATTGATTTTCATGCATATTTTGTACTAACTAAAATCTCTTTCTTTTGTGGCTAATACGAAATATAGATGTCTTTTATACTCACTTCCGTGCACCTGTTACACCTCCCAATCTCAACAAACAAGGCCCTGATAACGTTTTATCCCATCAGCAGTGCCTGACTGCAGGATGCGCAGCTTCCAACACACAGTCGTTGCAGTTATTGCGTGTCGAACAAAACAAGAGTACAAGATAGCATTTCTAGACGTGCCTCATCACTTTGCCTCCTCTTTTGTCTTAGAGCTGGGGAAAGAAGAAGAAAAAGTGTTTGATCCAGATTCTTTGGATGCCGATCGTTGTGAGAGCTGTTACGGGGCAGAGTCAGAGGACATTCGGTAACCTTTACACCTTTTCATATCTTCTTAGCACTTGAATTCATACTGTTCTGTTGCATGCATGTTTTTTTTCCGAAATGTCTATGAAGGTCTGTGCAATAAAATCCTCCTGGGCACGTGTTCCGAGAACAGTGAGAACTGTTGTGGTTTTGGTATGCCTTTGGAAGCGGCACTCCAGATTGTTAAGAGCGTGCAGAGCTAAATTGTCTAGTGTGTCTGCATGCCTGTTTAAGGGCAGTGCAAACTGCATTACCTTTGCAGTAGCACAAAGATTGTATCTCAGCAAACGGCATCTTTTCTGGGGTTATTTGGTGTCCGGAGGGGAGCTGTGTAAATTATTTCACCATTACATGAGCTGTCTTGGAATAAAACCTAGTTATGGCTTTGCATCCTTTGCGCTGCTGCTGCAAGCTTCGCATCCTTATGGGAGCAAAGACCAGACGTTTATCACTCACACAAATGGTGGGTGTCATTTGGTGTTTCTCATTCCTCCTACCTGCAAATTCCTGTAGGATTGGATCCGTGATAGGCTGCAGGTTCCGGACTGTCTTTCGCTGTTACTGTCTCTGTAGTGACTTGGTTTGTCCCATCTGCCAAGTTGTGTCCTTCCCCGTAGATGTTTCCATCTTGTGGGATTCATGACTGCAGCCTTCAGCTTTCTCTTTGGTCCAGCAAAACATGTAACCAAGACAGAAGACTGTTCTTTCCCGTGACCAAGGTGTTACCCAGAGGTAGAAAAGCAACGAAACAAGTTTACTGTTAACCCTCCCTCCAGTGCTGATAGTCTTGCCCTAAAAGCAGAGGAAAGGAGGAATAGAAACATGCAGATGCATTGTGCACAGGGAGAAGTTCCAAACTGCTCAGGACTGTGGGACACTGGTGTCATTTTTGTAGCAAGTTTCTTTGGTACAAATTTCTTTGTCTGAAAGGACAGGCAAAGCCCTCTTCAGACTCCAGCACTGCATTAAACCAGCTTGCATCCTGATGCTGAAATCTCAAAAAGTACATCCAAAAGCTCGAGCTCCTTCAGGAGCGTTAGGCCAGCTCCCAAGGTCTGGTCCCTGATGTTTGCGTTATCACTTTGTTGGAGAAAAATCCGCCACGAATTCAAGTCCTGAGCTGGAGTGTCTCTATAGCGATAAAGGTGGTAAGATGATGGTGCTTGTGCTTTTGCAGGTGTTGTAATACTTGTGACGATGTCAGAGAAGCATACAGGCGGCGAGGCTGGGCCTTCAAGAACCCGGATAGCATAGAGCAGTGCAAGAGGGAAGGGTTTAGCCAGAAAATGCAAGAGCAGAAGAACGAGGGCTGCCAAGTGTATGGTTTCCTAGAGGTCAACAAGGTGAGAGATGGGTTTTGCTGTGAACCTGCTGCATGATGGTTCTGACTGTGAAAAGGCAGAATCGCGGCGTTCCTCTCCTTTTCCAGCCTTAGGTGTTCACAGGACTGTAATATAACAACCCCTGGGCTCAGCAAGGTACCTGTGCCCGTAAAGGGGTTCAGTAGGAGAGTCAGGAAAAGCAGTGGGAAGGGGCTAATGCTTTGTTTCATTGTGTGGGCTGGTAGGCAGCCTGCCGGCTGGAGAAGCTTAGCTTTTCCTACCGTCTGATGAGTCTTTTTGCTGAGGTTTCTGGATGAGGAGAGGCAGCTGCTTTGAGATTTGATTGTCCCACCTGCCCTTCTAGTCTTAAAACAGAGACCACTAGTGGATGCTGGAGGTACCAGTAGCCAACACTTGCCAGCAGAGGTGCCGGAGAGAGTGAAATGTTATCCTCTTTAGAAAAACAGTGGAAGCAAGACTGTTGGAGTTGATTGACAAAGCTGAAAATGCTCAGAGAGGTGATTGTTGCAACTGGTGTAGGAAAATGTAGTACGAAATGTACCAGATAACTATGTGACTACCCTGTCATTTGGTGTGTTAGCAAACCCAGAACACTTGGATGAGCAGGTTACGTATCCAAGTACATTCTAGAAGTCAGGCCCAGGCTAATTTTTTTTAATTTTTTTTTAATTTTTGATTCAAACTCTGGGGGTTTTTTTTGCATCTTGGTGTACTCTTCTTGGAGACCACGTTCTCTATTTCTGGAAAGTAAACCTTTTACTCACGAAGCCAGACGTTGTGATTTGAGCATCATCATGGGTACCAAACCATTACAGGACCTTCTGTCACATTCAGATCCTCCAGGGCAGAGTGTGTATAATTGCTAGTAAGTGTCAGTGAGGATTGGCACCTGATATCCACATCCCTTTCAGATTCCAGGATGAAATTTTAACAGCCTTTGTCTTTTGGGGTGTTTTGAGGCTTGGGTATTTTTTTGCAAGTTCAGTGCTTTATTTTTGTGGTTTTTGCATGCAGCTTATTTTCATGGACGTATACATAGGGTTGCTGTTTATTGTATTAAGTTGTTTTTGTTACTCTGCTCAGTCTCCCCCTCAGTTACTTTCTCCACTTCTTTTTTGTGATAACGTTTTTGTATTTTCTGCAGCAGCAGTCAGTTCCCTCACAATAGACTTACTTCTTTCTTCTTCCCATTTTTATGTCCACTAAAATAATCTACGTAGAACAGTTAATACCAACATCAGTATGTAATTATGGCTTTCCACATGACTGCCTGTGAGGAAGAGAGGAAGTTCATATCTCATGAAAATGAGGTGCTCGGTGTATTATGTTGTTTAAACAAAAATGTAAAAATCCAAGCACCGCTATGACTGATTTATTTATATAGATTCAGACCTTTTAATGAAAGATTCCTGTCTCCTACAGGTAGCTGGAAATTTCCACTTTGCACCAGGAAAAAGTTTCCAACAATCTCATGTCCATGGTAAAGTATTTTCTTTTCCTGCTTATTGTGACCTTTAGCTTCCAAGCGTATCTGACCATTTTCTTTGAATGTCTTTGCACCGCTATCCATAATAGCGGTGACACTGCTGCAGTGAGGAGGGTGTTGTTGAAGTTTTGTTACAGAGGTTTAGAACCATCGTGAACAAATAGAAGCGTTTTCTGGAGGTGCTGCCATATGGGTGTGGAAGAACTTGGGAGGAGAATGTTTATGGGCAGTCTGACAGTCTCACTGGTTCCACAAAACTGCTGCTTTGATGTACAACCTCAAGTAAATGGTTGGAAGGGACCATTAAAGGCCATCTAGTCCAACCCCCCTACAATGAGCAGGGACATCTGCAACTAGATCAGGTTGCTCAGAGCCCCGTCCGGACTGACCTGAGTGTTCTCAGGCATGGGACGTCCACAGCTTCTCTGGCAGCCCATTCCAGTGCCTCACCACCCTCACAGTAAAAAGTTTCTTCCTTATATCTAGTCTGAATCTACCTTCTTTTAGTTGAAAACTATTCCCCCTCATGCTATCGCAACAGGCCCTGTTAAAAAGTCTGTCCTCATCTTTCTTACAAGCCTCCTTTAAGTACTGAAAGGCCACAGTAAGGTCTCCCCAGCGCCTTCTCTTCTCCAGGCTGAACAAGCCCAGCGCTCTCAGCCTTTGCTCACAGGAGAGGTGCTCCAGCCCTCGGATCATCTCCGTGGCTTCCTCTGGACCTGCTCCAACAGGTCCATGTCTGTCTTGTCCTGAAGACCCCAGAGCTGGACACAGCACTCCAGGTGGGGAGTTCTCTCTTGCTTTCCTAGTTATTCGTAACACATGATTTCCCTTTTTTCCTAACCTTTTTCTGGGCAATGTTTTCATGGCACCAAGAAACAGCCAAGGAGTTTTCTCAGACCCGTGAGGAAAATGGACATCTCGGAGCCTGGTCTTTCTTGTACATGAAGCTGAGGCTGTTTTCTGCC